AATTTGGAGATACCTTTGTGGCATGGATCGAGTTTCTGAGCCGAACCAATAAGGGGAAATCGTTCTTGAATTTTATGCATTTTTGGTCTTGTTTTCTTTTCTTTGAATCTCTACAAATCCTAAACTAATTGATTGTTTGATTCGATTTGTAGGTGGATTTGTTGCACATAATGAAATGTTTGTAGATAATTATGACACAATTGGTACGCCAAGAGATCTAGACATTGCAGAAAAAACGTGAAAAAGAAACTTAAGGAAACGGAAGCGAACCGGAAAAGAAAGCTAAATTAAGTTGAGATAGCCTGAATTTTGAGGTTGACTGCACCACTATACGTCTTTGTGCACCTATTTAGTTGTCATGTGTTTCATTATTGCACATGGGATTGGCGTCGAGATTTAATACATCACAAGTTTTGCTCACTTACAAGCACAACCTAACACAAAGTGTTTGCATCCATGAACCCTCCGCTCATTTTGCAGCATTTGTAATAACAAATTACTGATGAGATATTGAATTTTGTTGGTAATTTCTACTTGTAATTCAAAAATGTTGCTTGATTAAGAAAAGTTAATTTCACGAAATATGTCAGAAAATATACTTGGTTATGCGCTTACAATTTTTTTTCTGGCCACATGAATATAAGAAAAATGCTTCTTGTACATAATGTTTTACATAATGATAATGTGTCAAAATGTAAGTGGGAAAGTTATTTGATTGATGATATTTTGATCCAATTAAATTCCGCTACATCGTTCGTTGGTAAATCATTAGGTAGATTGTTATGTACATGTAGCACAATCCATGAATATAAACATGGATCACTTTTCCATGAAAACTAATGTGATATGTTAGTTATAAAGTTCTTGTATGTGAACCATGTCACTAACTGCTGTTATGTAGTTGAATAAGAAAGACCATAGTTTTTATGTAGTTAACTACTTCGATTGTTCATGATATCCGTTGGAATTCTTATCTTTTATTTGACAATGCCATATATTTAATCCTCTTAATTTTGACAAATGATGTTTTCAATAATTCTTTTCCAATAGAGCATAGTTTTGATATATATTTGTGTTTTGTTTTGTGGACTCCAAGTTTGCGATTGTTAAAATTTGATTGATGTTGTTTACTGAATCATTGACTAGTACATATGTTACAATTCACATACTACGTCACCATGTTACAAACACCAAGCAAAAAATAAAAAATCGGCAAATAGAAAAGATTATTCGTGATAAATATCGTATTTATTCAATGAAGAATGTAGTAATATGAATGTCATTTATGTCAAGTTTTACATCATGTAATCTATTTGTAATTGACATTTGCGAGTGGTTACATTTGTCAAAGTTAAAAAGGTTGAACCCCAACCTTAAGGATCCCCCACCGCCCCTATCCTGGAGCATCGTGAGGGAGGTAAATCGCAGGTTATGCCTCCAAGGGTACAGGGTGGAAGGCTGCTTGTACACTTGCACTTACCCAAGAGCCAAATCCATATTTCAGGATTTGAACTCTTGACGCGACAGGCTCAAGCAAAGCTGGATTTCTCCACCCTCCTGTTTTACCACTTGGAGATGTGCCTTAGGGGCAGTTACATTTGTCAAAGTTGGTGTTCCTTCGTGTTGTTAATAGCTGTATCGAATAATAGATTCGGTTCATTACATACAACGTTCCCATTTTCTACACTACGACCATAAAATACCGGTCCAGGATAAACGGATGTCATCCTCAGATTTTTAATGCTAATTTGCTATGAGATTAATTTACTGATACACTACAATTTCAGTTGCCAACATTATGATAATTTCAAAATGTAGATGTAAGGTCAAGATCTTCCAGCCGATGGCAAACAACCTAACTGGTATCAATGTTTATGCATTTTTTTTAATCATATTTCCTTTCCTTGACTTCCTAACACTCCTCAATACATACAATGTTCGAATCAGTTTCATATCCTCCATCATATTTCAAGTTTTCATACTTGAACAGTTGAAAACGTGTGAGCTTTATCCCTCCCATTTGCTACGCTTCTAACGATCGATGATGGGTCTTGAAGGGGTTTCCAAAGCTTCATTCTTTGGGTTAGCTAACTCCACTGAAGGTGTCGTGTGCCTCGACTATTTGTTCTTGCTGAAGCCGGTGATGAAACATGACTTCTTGAAAATCTCCTAGGGTGAAGCAGTGAACATGAGGTTAAAGCATTGAAATCACATAATGCATGTAGAGGACATTCATGCTCCCACCAAATCTATTTCCTGTCGAAGATAGATACATACAGTCAATTTGATGACAAACTATTTCACAATTGATAGCAAGCAGGTTGAAATAAAATCGTATTTCCGCAGCATGGCTATCGATTTCTTGGCACAATGTGTGAAATTAAATCTAGATTTGAATGTAAGAAAGTCGTGAATGTGATTGAATGGGGAAATTCTTCAAGTCATTGGTAATTTTTTATTTTTAGTAAAACTACAATTTGGGGTTTTTTTTTTTTTTTTTTTTTTTTTTTTTTTTTTTTTTTT